AGCCTTCAGTATACCTTTTATCAGTAGTGTTAATTGCTTTTGAAGCATTACTTTTTTTTGCCAGAGGAATAAGGATAACAAATTCACTCAGCTTTCCATAGATGCTGTAGCATGTGGATTCCCCATATTCTGGGCGCATGGATCTTGTTCTCTCCCCAGTGCAAAACATTTGGCCGTTGCCTATCCTTAAAATATGTTGCAGGCAGTTCAGACTAGTCTGCAAAGCTGTACAGCTTGGTCAAACCTTTCTTTAATTCCCAGTAGCTTTACACTACACCACTGAAAAGCATTGTGGCAATTTGTCAATTAAGAGTGCTCATCTTATCTCTTAGCCTTATGACTTTTAAAGCTAGTTTTGGAGCAAGAGTGACTTCTCTCTTTTCTTCTCATTTACCCCTGAAGGCTTTGAAACTTTAGACCTCTTAACCATGAATCAGCCCTTTCTCTCCATTTTTCCCACTCCTTCCCCTTTATGGTTGAGCAGGCTAAATGGAGTAAGCTGAAGGCAAAGAGGGGTGCCATCTATAATAAGATCCTCTTAGGAGCGACTGTGTAAAGTATTGACTTTCTTTGTTTGCCATAGAAACTCTCCATAGTTACTGTGGGTGGCAGAAACACCTGTAAGTTCATGATCAAAAACATGATCAAGCCAAGGTTGGCTTGGTTTTCACTCCAGAAAGTCCAAGGAGGGAGTGCACACGGTTCCCAGGGTTTCTGCTAAAAAAGGATACTGGAGAAGAGGTTTATCTTATTCCAGAGCTGGATCTGGAATACTGGAGGGGAGTACAGGCCCAAAATGATTCTTCTGTGTAGACAGTCAAGTGACCAAAAGAGCCTTTTTCTTTCCAGAATTAAAACCTTTTAAATGGTGATATTTAGGACAATGACTCCTGCTTCCAGGAGATATTTTAATACCAGTGGACCTGGCAGATGGTTCTCTGCATATATTCAGTCCTTTCCTTCCTTTTTCATGTCCATGTGTGATAAGGTATTTAGCAGAATTTGCAGATTCATTGGAATCTGACAGGGCTGCACCATGAGTACTTCTGCTGTGGCCTCAAACTTGCAGCCTCTGGACTGTCAGTTGTGTATCCTAGTGCTCTTGTCACCCCAGCTCCCCCATTATATCCAATCATTATTATGAAGAGAAAATACTAATGTTTGGGATCTCCATTTTCAGACTACTCAGGAAAGTTTAAATAGCAATGATAGCTTGACTGACAGGTAAAGTGGACTTGCCTTTGTCTTTTAATACTGCCATAAAAATAGTAATCATCTTGTACCATCATGGTTCATAAGGAAGAAATCTGTAAGACCATCTTCATACTTCAGGCACATGGGTTCATCCTAAACCTGGAGAATCTCCTCCATCTTTGAGGATAACGTAGGAGTGGATAGGGGAAAGCTACGTTTCTCAGTGGAAGAAAGCTTTGATAGGAACCAAGCAGTGAAGTGTTAAGGAACCAGTGTGTCCTCCTGCATATTTTAACTCTTCATACTGTCTTGATAGCCTTCCTTTTTTTGTTACAGTCCAGTGTTGATTTACTTCGACTTTGTTGCTGCTCATCCAGCAATAAAATGGTGACAACTGCAGAAAAAAATCTTCCAGTCTAGACCATTTAATTACTATATCTGAAGAAAAAGTGGTATAACAGCTTTTATATTCCTAAAGTACTTCACCTTGGTGATCATGCCTGCTTTCTGCCTGGTTTAGGTGGAGGATAGATTTAGAAAACCTAATCAGGGGTCCCCAGAAGCACAGTCTAAACAGACGGGCAAAGTGTTGGAGCCACCAGTGCCTTCAAGATCAGAGTCTTTTTCCAATGGGAACTCAGAACCTGTTCAGCCTGCCCTGCAAAGGCCAATGGAACCCCAGGTAAAAACTGGAAATGTTGGTGGGGTTGGAAGAAATCTGTACCTTTTGAATAGATTTACTTCGTTTTAGGTTTGCAAATCTTGGCACATAAGCCCCAGTTATGCTTCATGAGACTATGAAGGATGACTTATTCTACAGATTTGCTGCCTGTGTGTATAAGACTCATTTTTAGAGGTAATGTGCAAGAAGGAAATAGCTGAGCCAGACTTCTAGGTTCTGGTAGCAAAGCTAACTGGATGCATGAACACCTTGTTGTCATGGTTGTATTGATACGTAATGAACCTCTAAAACATTCAATCCTATACTCCATAATGATACATAAAAAGAGATTACAGGCTACAATTTGCAAACACCTGTAAATACAGAATTAAAATGAACTATTTAAATACATTTATGAAGCATAATGCACAATTTCTGTGCACAAGAATATTGTGGTTGGAAAAACATGGAGTTTTTCTCATTTTGATAAGTTGACAAAATTCATGACAGTGGTGTGGCTAAAACTTTCCCTGGTTATCTTGTTGTGAATAGGCTTTGTAACACTTTTTGGCAACAGCAGCATCTGAACAGAAGGGAGAGGGGGAGTAATTGGGACAAAATGTCACCTTTCACTCCTGCCTTCCTGGCTTGAATTTAAATTTCTAGCATTCTCTGAGAACACTATACTCATGTTTAATACTATATGCAGCCTATGCTGATTACGTCTAAAATCTTGCTTTCAACTTCTGCTAAGACGAATGGAGCTTTGGTGCATTCAAAAATGTAATAATTATATACATATTCAAACAAAGAGCCCTCACCTTCCTAAAACTATGGTCAACTGCTAAGTCTATTTTGTTGATGAAAACACAACATACTGGAGTTGTGGCTTTACCTGATTTTTTTTAATTTTATTTTTACTTCTATCTTATTACAAAAAGAAATTTTCAAGCAAATGACTTACTCCACTTATTAAAAAGAGGGTGGTCTTGGGAGTCAATATAAGTCTTACACTAGAAATCCAAATGTAGCTTTAACTATGGAGTCACTGTCGTGTCTCCATAATTTATGTGTAGTTTGTGTGTATATATGTGTACATGTGCAGTATATGGTACATATATAGCATATGTGTAATATGCATTTTTATATATATATATATATATATATAATATATATATATATATATATATATATATATAGCGTCATGACTATAAAGGAATAAAGGCTTTTGATTTACAATTGTCCTTCAAAAGTTATTCATTATAATTAATTCCTTAATCAATAGATCATCTTTGGGTTACACGTTAGGCAGTATTTCTTCGATTTGATATTACTTCAAATTGTCCCTCCAGTTGGTGCTCCTGTGAGGCTTGCACAAGATCTGTCAAAACAAATGGAAGAAGAGTCCCAGTACTTTGGTGGGCTTTGGGTCAAGCGCATAGTGACCATCTTATTTTTGTTTCTTTCCGTGGTAGTAGCGTATGTGTTTTTGGAGAGTAGTGTGTTTGGAGAGCCTTTCTCACAAAAATGCATACCTGCTGTATTTTCAGTCTGTTATGTTCTCTGGGTGCTTGCCTCGCTTTTAAGTGCATTAATTCCACCTCACGCTTGCCTAATGCCATAACCAAGTTGTCTCTGCCCCTGTCCCCACCCACCTGCCTTTATTCTGTGTTAATTGGAAAGTAGGTTGTACGGAGGCATTTGAATGTTTTATGTTTTGTTTTCTTGTAAGGTACAGTGGTCCCATCTGGCATCTCTCAAGAACAATGTTTCCCCTGTCTCGCGATCCCATTCCTTCAGTGACCCTTCTCCCAAATTTGCACATCACCATCTTCGTTCTCAGGACCCATATCCACCTTCACGCAGTGAAGTGCTAAATCAGAGTTCTGACTCTAAATCGGAGGTACCTGACCCCACCCAAAAGGCTTGGGCTAGATCAGACAGTGACGAGGTGCCTCCAAGGGTAAGGAGTAGAAAGACAGATGTTTCCTTTTTTTTAAAAAAATTTTCTTTTGAAGAATGTGGTAGTTGGCACTGGAAGAATCAGCCTTGTAGAGCAGTGCCAGTATGGGGAACAGTGTTTTAGAAGGGAGAAGTTAACCAATCAGTTAGCCAGTGATAACATGATAGAAGGAAATTTTGCAACCTCTCATAAAATTGGCTTATATTTATAAGCCATAGCTCTTGAAGAGAGACTATTTCTTATGCAAAGATAATAAATCATTACCATATTCAGGAAATAATTTACAGTATCCCTGAGCTTTTATCCCTGAGCTTTAATTTACAGCTTAAAGTTAATTTTCTTCTTCCTCTGTTTGGCAAACCAAACTGTAAATTAAGAACTTATCTTTAAATTGAGATGGAGCTGAACAAAAAAGGAAACATTGAAAATATATATATATTTTCCCCTTCAACCTGGGATTTGCTGCTTCTGAATATACTCTTGCCCCCCACCAGTCTTTGCCTCCTGCTGATCCATTACCAGCCATGTGTTTGGTTCCCTTGAGCTTATCCTCCTTATTCTCATGCTGTTTCAGCAAATTGCTTTGTGCCTCCCTTGCTTCAGTCAAAATGCCATATTCTTTTAAAATGTCTCCATAGTCCTGGAGGGGTTGGTGGGGTGGGTTGCTGCGAATGTGCATCTTGTGTGGTAGCTATTTAAGTACTTAGACTAAATGTTCAGTTTTCCTTAATATCCTAACAGCAGCCCAGCTAAGATTCTTCATTTTATGGGTAATTTAGGAGTGGAGTCAGGGGTGGGGAGTCGATGACATAAACTTCAACTTAGTATAATAGCAATTTTCAAATCTTACAACTTGTCCTCTACCAGGAGAGGCTTAATAGTTGCCCTTCCCTTCTCCTCTTCCTGTAATTAATGATTTTTTTTCCTCCACTAAGGTACCTGTAAGAACAACATCTAGGTCTCCTGTCCTGTCCCGTCGAGATTCTCCACTGCAGGGCAGTGGTCAGCAAAATAACCAAGCAGGTCAAAGGAATTCCACAAGGTTCGTAAGTTCAGGATCTCTCCACCTCTCCTATGTCATAGAGAAACAACAATCAGAAGCCACACTTTCCTTTGCAGGCAGAAAGCCACTGGTATTATCTGCTGGATGTGAGGGAAGGAAGAAAGTGTATGGTTTTTTTTGTGCCAGTTAATGTTGAGATTCCTTGGCACCAAGTATTTCAGTAAACCCCAACTGAATTTATTTTTTCCCTTTCAGTCTTTGAAGCAGCTATTTAAGTAATCCCCACAGCAATTTCAAAAGATTTTTAAAAAATTGTTTAAAAAAGAAAAAGAAAGCAGGAAAAAAGGGGTGGAGGGGGGGAATTCATACAAGCGTTTATTGTCAAATGGCATGCTCCCTGCTATGATTCGAATCCCTTGCATTGCACTAGCATTCATCATCATCATTGGCAATCCCTCACAATTGAGGATGCTTATCAATATGATTGTGCTGGGGTTGCAATATGTGCAGTTATAGGTGTTTGCTTGGGTCATGATCGTTTTACAGCTCTCCGATGTCAGTGTGTTGGGTAATCCGCTAGCTACCTAGCAAAAGAGCTAAGCATTGTTGATATTTTTCTGATAATGATGATGATGATCATGATTAGCTCCTGTGGTATGAAGACAGCCAGTACAGCTGCTATTCATGTTGTGAATTGTTATTAAAACCCTAAATGCAAAGATTTAAACTCTTTCTGATCAATTGTTAACAAAATTCTAGTAAGTAACAGCACTTGATTTTAAGGTTGAAATGGAAAATCGGAAATTAAAGTTGGTAAGAAAATTCTTTTCCTCTGCCTGCCCCTTTCCCTTTCCCTTCGCTCCCCACCCCAAACAGCAATATAGAGCCTCGTCTGCTATGGGAAAGGGTTGAGAAGCTTGTACCAAGACCAGGCAGTGGCAGCTCTTCAGGTTCAAGCAACTCTGGCTCTCAGCCAGGTTCCCATCCGGGATCGCAGAGTGGCTCTGGTGAACGGTTCCGAATGAGATGTAAGGCTGCATTTTACTTATTTATTTTCTTCCTCCCCCACAACCCCTGATCTATCCAGACTTAATATATACCTACATTTGGATTGTGTGGCAGTTCATAATAATAATAAAGATCAATAAATATTAATTTGAAAGGAATTTTAAATATAAGTGATGAAAGATCAGCAAGTTCTGATTCTCTGCCAGTTGCTTCCCTTTTAATAACTCATGGAGGGGCAGGGAGGGGGGCAGTCTCATTAAGGTTCATATTCAGTTACAGTTGTATTTGACAGTATTAAAATATTTGACTAATTGTCCACTACTTTTTTTCCTATGATTTGTTAGCTTTTTTCTAACTTTGTGTGAGCATGTTGGCCACCATTGTATCCTGGTGCCTTAGGTGGGCATGAAGACAGACTTCTCTTTCAGATCTAGATTTGTTGACTTTTTAGTTATTCTCCTACTTCTGCACATCTCCTTGAGTCAAATGCAAGCATGGCAACTTACTGCTGGGTTGGGCATGGGGTGGAAAGCAAGGTAAAATTCTCTCGTGTGTGTGAGGTGTTTATTTTTTTAATAGACAATGATGAATCCACAAAACGATACTTTGCAATAGTACAGGCAACCCTCGCCATTTGTGAGGGATACGTTCTTCAGATCCCCATGAATGGCGAAATCCGTGAATACGGCACTGCATTCATGAACATCATGAATGCAGTGCCCCTGGTAGCTGGGGTGGGGGCATGGCTGTGCTGGTGGCTGGGGGAGCCTGGCAGCAGCAGGAGCCCAGCAGTGGCAAGTGTGGAGCTCCCAAGGAGCTCCTGTAAGTGTAGTTAAGATGCGGGTTCGGCATTCGCGAATATTTGAAACTGCGAACAGTGAGCCCGTGAATAGTGAGGGTTTCCTGTAGTTACCACGATCCTCTCCACTCATGCCATAAAATAAAAGAAAAAGCAACTTTACGATAGATTTCAGTTGCTCAGGATGCTTCTGCTGCTGCTTAATTTTGGAGTTAGGTGTTGGCAACATATGACCCATGACCCTGGAGGGCTTTGGTGACATTCCAGCGGCAGGGTCTTTACCTATGCTGGGGCTGGGCAGTGAGGAGCTTCACTGAGGCTGAGTGATTTGGAGCTGTGCCCATGCCTCTTCACTTCTCTCAACCTCTCCCCTCCCATCAGTTGTGGTACTGGCACAGCTGCCTGGCCAGGCATGGATGTGGGTAAAGCCTTCAGTCACTGAGCCCTGACCCACATCAGAGCTAGGTTGTTCTGGCCCACAGCTTGGAAGAGTTTCTGTCCCCTGTGTTACAGCTTATACAGTTGTAATGTGTAAAGCATTTTGTAGGGGGATTAGAGTGGAAATACATCTCATAGCGAAATAGCTTTAACCCTGCAATGCTCCACTGCTATTAACCCATATAAACTACTGAGCTGAGCTGGCAATGAGATTATGGGCTTGGATTCCAGACTGGATTCAGTGTGTGCTTGCCCTGGTTTACAGCTACCCATGCAAACCAATGGGTAGCTCAAGAGGTGCAAGCTGTTAGGGCTAAATCCTCAGTTGGTGTAAATTGTCATAACTCCACCTCCTTCTGTGGAGCTGTAACAGTTAACTCCACTTGCAGATCCTGCCACTAGCATAGATGGACAAAGTGGTTGTTTGCATTCATGTTGCTTATCCTGGTTTGACTCTTTTGCTGAGCTGCATCAGCACTGATCACAAATAAAATAGCCTGCACTAGAGGCATGTACTGGTCCATGTTAATTAGTGGATGGCTATCAGTGGCTTAGATCCCCAGTGTTTCAAAGCCTTTGGCCTCTTTTTGCCACAGACCTTACTGCTCTTTATTCTTGCTTTTTTTGTCTTGATATGCAGCGTCATCCAAATCTGAAGGCTCTCCATCTCAGCGTCATGAGAATGCAGCCAAAAAAACAGAAGAGAAGAAGGAAGTCTTCAGACCCCCCAAGCCTGCTGTAAGTTAAGCCTACCTTCTATTATTTATCTTGGTAGCATTTCCAGATTTTTCATTTGACGTTAGCAGGCAAAGGCTGTTAACAACATACTGTGACCCTGGTTTAACGATAACTGGATTGGTAGTGAATTTGTGTTTCAGCTTGGTGGTTACGTATATTATATTTTTTCCCTTTTGCCTTTTGTACTTATTTTATTATCTTATCTTCCTTCTCTCCAACCATGCTCTCAATCCTGTGCATTCTGGATTAATGATGAATCATTTGACCTGCTTGACCATTGCTGTACTAGGGAGAAGTGGTAAGTACTTAATCATTGCATTCAGATATCCTGGAAATTTTCTAGAGTACGTGGTCATTGTTTAACCCTGTGAGGTCAAAGTAAATGATCACAATGTTTCATTCTGTCTTTAAAAATATCTGATTTATTCTGCTTTGTGTTGCAATACATTCAAATGTCCCAATTAGAACTGCCCTTGAACCTGATAATTCCCCTGCCAAGAGTTTATAAACTATAAAATATGTTGTATAATTTATACAAGACAAGACAACTCATTTAGTTCAAGGTGTTTTGCAACTCTGCTGCCCAAATGTTTTATGTACCATATCCTGTCAAATTGCAGAAAACTGGATGAAAAAAGGAACCGTCACACTGAAGAACCTGTTTAGTGCCTGGTTTGCAAATTGACATTCCTTGTGTGAACTGAAGAGAGCAGCCAAGGAGTCAAGAGTCAAGGCATTTGGATTCAAAATGCAATTCACAGTGATACAGATATCTGATGTGCCCATCTTCCTAATCCAAATGCCTTGGCATTTAACCTGCCAATGAACTTATAAAGTAAAGAGTAAAGTGACATGTTTCAGAGAATGATAGAAGCCCAGCAGCAGAACTTAAGTCCAAACAATTTAGGTCTTACAACTCTGCGCCTGTCAAGCTGACGCTTCCCCGTTCTAATCTGCCCTCTAACCTGTGCCTTTCATGTCTTCATTGCTCTCTGGTTAGGATTTAACTGCATTGGCAAAGGAACTGCGAGCAGTTGAAGATGTGCGACCCCCGCATAAGGTAACAGACTACTCATCATCCAGTGAGGAGTCTGGGACGACAGATGAGGAAGATGATGACATGGAACAGGAGGGAGCAGATGAATCTACTTCTGGGCCAGAGGATGCCAGAGCAGTGTTAGTTGTTTTGTGCCATGTTATTTTTTTTTTTGTGTGCGTGTGCCCCCTCCCTCTGAGGTTGGCGGGGAGAGGGGCAGGGAGGCGGAGGAGGAGTGGAGTTTGGTTGTTTGAGTGATGTGTTTAATTCTGCTTGTATCAACACAGTGTTCTGGAATCCATCATTAGCATTCCCTTTGTGTTCACATTTCTAAAATGTATTGGACAATATTTTCAAGTGTACAGGTCTCGTTTTCAGAGGTCACTGAAGTGCTAAGTCACGAAAATCCTTACTGAATGTCAGTAAGAGCTAAAGTCATTACTGAAAATGGGACTTTGGCTCTTCCCCTTAAGCTCTTTAAGCAAAGCTATTTTTATATGTGAATGCCATTTTTCTTGTGTTTCTAAAGATCAAACTAGTGTGTTGTGTCCTCTCCCTCCCTCCCTTGCATTTTCTGTAAAACAGGGAGAGCTTCTTTTAGCAATTCTGTTACTTCTTGTCGTCTTCCTTGATAGTTCAGTAAATATTTTACTTTGGACACAACTGAAGTGAAGTATGACGTGAATTGGATACAGATACACGGTGACTTGGATTTTAAACTGAACTGCTGTGGCGTTATCTCATCCAGATTATCTGTTGCTTGATAAATAGGTCAACTCTAAACTTGAGCAATGGTGAAACAGAGTCAGTGAAAACCATGATTGTTCATGATGACGTGGAGAGTGAACCTGCCATGACTCCTTCCAAGGAGGGTACTTTGATCGTTCGACAGGTATTGTCTTTCCTTCCCTGTGCAATTTTGCACCACTTCTGTGATCATTAACCCGCCTGCTCATTCACCCACTCTGTTTCCACATTATATTTGTTGTTTGTGTTATCCAGACACAGGTAGCTTATTTTGGATGAGCAGATATTGTGGATGCATGCAGAAAAAAGAGCATCCTCCACCCCTTGTTGCTACTATTTTGCATGTTCTGCAATTACACTTATTACAGCACCATACTGAGTACTTCAAAGTCTGTGTCAGAAAATGATAGAAAAGCTGCAGGTGTATGAAGTAAGCATTCAGAGCAGGAGACTTTAGTTTTGGAAATAAAGGGGCGGGGGGAATGGAGGCAGAAAGAGCGTTCAGGTCTTCAATTTTTAATCCTTCACTTGAGAAGATACTCTTTGAAAAAAAAACAGCAGCAAAAAGCAAGGTAGAAAATGATTGATAATGGGGGATGGAAAGGGATAGCCACAGGTCATAAGGCAATGCATATGCACAGATCTAGGTGGGTTTGCTTCCTTCTATTTATTAAGTTATTTGTACTGTGAGGATGATGTTTCCCTGTATATTAAACAAGCTCCTCTGTAATGAATATGTTCGCTCCTAGGACTTCCTCCGTAATCACATTCATGGATTTTACAAATGAGTGTCAGTTTCTTAATTGAGCCCTATGGTTTGCTAATTAAGATTTCATTCTTATTGTTTTAAATAGCTAGCTGAGGGCATTCACTAGATACTTAAGGTTCTCATCTGAACATGATTCAAACTAGAATTAAATAAAATGATAGGGGAAAAAAAAGCCAGAAATCTTGCCCATGCTCTAGGAGAAGATTTAACAGCACAGTTACCCTGGCAAGGCCAGTTCCTTTGCCAGAAGGTATCATAAAAAGTGAGAGGCCAAATTCTGCTGGCCCGAAGCAGTGCTTGCTGAGTTATTGTAGCTCTGCAGACCTTACCCAGGCATCAAAGCATGATGTATCGATTCATTTAAAAAAAAAAAAAAAAAAAAAAAAAGCAAGAGAAGGAAGAATAGATTACGTTGTTAGGGATTTAGGCCTTTAAGCAGCACTTGAGCAAGACAAGTGTGCCTGTTTTTTCTACAGAATACAGTTGACACAAAGCGTGCCAGCCATCATGAGAGCAATGGCTTTGCCGGTCGCATTCACCTCTTGCCAGATCTCTTACAGCAAAGCCATTCCTCCTCCACTTCCTCCACTTCCTCCTCCCCATCCTCCAGCCAGCCGACACCCACCATGTCCCCACAGACACCCCAGGACAAGCTAACTACTAATGAGGTATGTCTTGCACCACAGCTGGCTGCTTTCTTAGGGTTATACCAGTGTTACCTAATAGCTAGTTTGCAAAGGAACTCCAGCCAGTCTTTCTCCTTGCTCTTTTCTGTCACCTTTTTCCCACCCCTCCAAAATAACACATTTCAGTTCTGTATGAGAAATTCTTAACGCTAGATCAGATTTACTCCAACCTTGCCAGTTTACTATTTTTGCTTTCCGTAGCAAGTCATTAATTGCATGGCTTTTGTTTAAACTAAACCTGATTTACTAGATTTGTCAGATCAGTGTTTTATTTAACTTATTTAACTTTTTTTTATTTTGTTATATTCTGGGAGCAGGCTAATTTTAAAGAATCTGCTTTTTCAAAAAACAAAATAAAACCTGGTTATTTTGGCTTGATTTAATCTTAAAAATTAAGTAGATAACTAGGGGACTTGCTTGTAGAAACTTGCAGCACTGGACAAAGAAGCTGTTTTCTAGCTTTACAGAGGGACTTTACTTTTCAGAATTGCCACCTGGGCTTAGTGACTATTTCAGATGCTTTTCAGGAAATTTCTAGTGTCCAGGGTGTTGGTGGTTTGGAATGACCTATAGGAGCTCTTTTGGTTTTAAAGTGTAGTTCAGGTCTGAAAAATGACAATACACAAATGACATTGGCTTATTCCTCACATGTTGTGTGACTCTTTGGAGTCCTGTCTGCAAATTGCCCTGCTGCTAATGTTCACATCTTTTAATCTCTATTGGCTCTCCAGAGCTAAAAGGGGGCGAGCTGCTTTCTTGTACGTGAACAGTTTTTCACAGGATCCCAATGAGATGGCTGATCCCTTGTAACCATGTAGTTTTTTAAAGGTTATTTAGATACGCATGTGTAAATTTTCCTACATGGTCATTAGTGGCAATAGGTGGGAAGGAGAGAACCTTACCTAGTTTTCATATTGAAGTATCTGGCCTGGCATTTAGGGAGAACTAATTCATACTTGCAAACAAGTACGATGTGGTCTTAGCCAGACTCTGTAAAGATGTAGCGACCTACTATCTTTTTTCTAAATGCAAGTGAAATTTAATGTAAACATGACAGTGCTTTGGCATCAAATCTCAGGTTTCTGTGTACTTAATATAGAAACTTAATGTGTACATTTCAAGATGGGATTAAGAAAGTTTGTGGAATGTATTAAATGGTGGGAGAGCAAATATTCATTCCCCCTTCCTTCCCTCTGCCCCCTCCACGCAGAATTTCAGTGAACAGAATGCTTGTGTAATTTTTAGATACACTTCAGTAGTCCTTGATCTTTCAAGTACATCCATGTAGGCTATGTAGATCTAAACGCATTGTTTCAAAGGCATGCTCGTTCATCTCTGTTCTAAGCAACAAGTAACCAGAGTTCATTCAACTTGGCTTAAAGGGCATTGATATTGAAATTATAATAGCTGCTTTTGCTGGTGGTGGTGGCGTTATTAGTAATGTTGTTGAAAATACTTTAACTTTTGCAGAAAAGTGGTAAAACAGTTGATACAGAAAGTAGAAGGGCAGAGGTGAAAGACTGTTTGACAGGGATCACATTTGTAGAGGCAAAAAAGAAACTGACCAGAGATTAATTTCCTTCAATCACAGCAGTTTATGCTGTGTGTGCGCATGCATGCACATGTGTACACGTGCCCCTCACATTTCCCTTTTTTTTTTTAACTTGTCCCATTCTGCTTTAATGTGCAGTGTTTTCACTGTAATACCTAGCTCACTAAACTGGCAAGGAGTTTGTAAGAGTCATTCCATTTGCACTTTTTAACAGTTCATTGTTTCGGTCGTCTTTTTCCTTTCTTTGTGGTTTTCATGTTTAGTCTATAGAACTAAATAAAACACCAGCATTTTTTTTAAAGTCAACTACATGTTCATAACTTCATATCAGTGTTTACTACACCTCTTACACTAATGAGCCCCTTGTTTGATACAGGTTTAATATTTGATTTATGAAGTAATGGTGGAAGAACCTGCTGCAGCTTTCTGGCAAGAGGCTCAGGTTTAAAAAAAAACCAAACAAACCCAAAAACCCCCCGAGAATTGACACACAGGACCGGACATTGTAATCAATCAGAGAAGTGGATGCCTGATCCCAGATTATTCAGCTTTTGTTGCTTGAACCCCAAGAGATCAAATTCCATGACTCATTAAACCAGTTCAGTTTAGGAGATGCATACCAAACAAAAATAGTGTATAATGAGTAGGTGACAGACGGATAGAAAACTTAAAATATGGAATGTAGTAGTACTAGTTTCTAGTTCTTAGGGTACTTGTATGTATAGCTCAGCTGATGGGGGGGAAAAAAAGAGAGGAAGAGACAGAAATCTCCTTATTTGCCTGCGTTAATCACCATTCCTAAAACTTATCCTTCAGAATTTGAGCTGTATAGGGATGAAGATATACTAACTACGTTTTTCAGGTAATATGTAAAATATAAATATATTAAGACGTGGTACCTGCAGAGTGTATTTATAGGAAGTATGAAGGTTGGGGGAATAAGGGCTTTTGGAAGGAGAAATGGTGCTGCTGCACAGTGACTGTAAAATGTTTGTAATAATCATTGATTTTTAATGTCATTTATATTAACAAATTGAAAATTTACATTGCAGACTCAGTCCGCTAGTAACACGCTCCAGAAACACAAATCTTCCTCCTCCTTTACACCTTTTATAGACCCCAGATTACTACAGATTTCTCCATCTAGCGGGACAACTGTGACTTCTGTGGGTAAGTAAAATGCAAAAAGACAACTTACAAGGAGTAGAATGACTGAAGTGGCTCATTAAAGTGTATAAGAGTGTCCCTGCTATGCTTGTTACTTGATTTGTGATGGATTGTATAGTTTATTTCCTTTTTCCATTTACATTTCTTATAGAGAGGAGAGACTTCTTATCAGTTACAGATCTGGGTTGTTTAATATACAGAGTAAATATTTGGCACCTGGGAGGTAACATTATATGTAATTCTTTTCAGTGGGGTTTTCTAGTGAAGCAATGAGGTCAGAAGCAATAAGGCAAGATCCCACCAGGAAAGGGTCAGTTGTCAACGTGAACCCCACCAATACACGACCACAGAGTGACACCCCAGAGATTCGCAAGTACAAGAAGAGATTCAATTCTGAGATCTTGTGTGCTGCCTTATGGGGTAATGTACACCTCTGTCCCTTCCTTCATTCCCTTTTTTTGTCTTGATATCATTGACTATAACTGATTTTTTTTTTTTTTTTTTTTATTAACACTTAAATGCATAAGTGAGAAGAGGACCTGCATGCAGAAATTAACCAGCTTTTATATCAGCTGTAGAACAGGGCAACAGGGAATGACTGGTAGTTGTCTTGCTACTCTTGGTGTACATGAAAACAACAGTTTTGCAGTTTGGAGTGTACCATTATGAGCTTAATACCACAAAATGGGCTTAAGAATGTTCTGAATAAATATAAGGAAATGGAAACAAGGATGTGTGTCAAGTATTTCAGTATAGCTACATGCAAATCAAGGCTCAGTTTGATGTTCTCACAATTTGGGTCGTCTTTGGTGTTGTTCCTTAGAGTACATTTGTTCTGTGTTTAAGTTCTCCCTGTTCAGTTTTCTTCTCCTAATTGTATTGTTAAAAATTGTTAGCTGAAGGGGATTCTCTTTTCAGCATTTTCAGCTGCAACGTTTGTGTTTTGATGGTATTCTTTGCCCTGTTCATTTTGTGTCAGGATGTGCCTGCTTAAATTAATAAAGTTTCAAGCAAGACATTATATGTGCCTAATATTGCCCCTCAGAGTTCTGTCTAACAAATCAAAGGGCTCAGTTATTATGTATTCTGTTTATCATCTTCTCTTGGTTTACATAGCATCTTGAAGTCACTTGGGGAGGAGTTCCAAAAGTAAACGCACTACTTCACCAGTGTAGACCTGCAGGCAGATTTTCTTGTGCATCCCAGTTTTCCTCAGTGCAGTGAGGTGCAGAAGACCTGTCAGTGTGCCATTTGTGGTCACAGCTCCATGTTCCTATGGGCTAGTTTTACATTAGCCTCAACCACTCTGTGTCTTATGGCAGTGAAGAACTAGGGCACAGCCTGCCTACCCTGATGTGCCCCTAACATGGCATCTACTTGCTTTCAGATTCCCCTTGTCAGGCCAAGTTTCTTTTCAAGTAGAGCCTAGCCCATCATTCAAGTTATCTGCTCATCTGTTATGTTGATTTTAAGTGTGGGAGCAAATCTTGTCCATGCTTTACAGTTGTAACTAAACTTTTGTGTTAAACATTTAGGGTCAAATTCATTCTGGAGCATAAAGAGCATACTTTACTCTCAGTGGACTTGTATCTATTTATCCCTGCATTGAACCTGTGTCCCTCTTGCAGGGATGTCTCCCATAAAAGAGTCTTAATTTATTCTTTCCTATTTGGAATGAAATAGCATTCACTTTGGAAGATTCTATTGGAAACTTGCAGAGGCGGTCAAATGCTAATAATATTTAATCCAAGAAGTACAAGTTCAGTCGCTAAATACATAAGAGTATCACTCTTAAGCGCTTTTAAGAGTTTGTACATTTGTTTGTTAAAACTACCAAGCTGCAGGGGGAAGAAGAGTCACCTTTGTGGGTCTCTGCAATGAGTAAAACTAAGAAAAAGACATGGAGAAGGATTCTAAGCTTGTGACATATAAAAGGAGGAGAATGACTGTAAATGTGTTTGGGTTTTTGTGGGCTTGTTGCACACAATCTATATTAACAAAAGTGTAAATCCCACCAAAATCACAGATGAATTAGGATTTTCTTCATTTCATCCTATATTTCTAATTACAAGAACATGCATTCACTACTTTCCCTGCTAGCTTGATATTGCTACACCTATGGTATAGCTGTGCTATGGTTAGGACATTAGATAATATAGAGAATGTAACTGAATATTGATAGACAGAAATCCAGAAGAACAACGTGAGTTTTGGTGTAAGGCTTCAAGATCATCCTAAAATGTTGCCCTGATATGTTTTGGGTAGATATGTTTGCAAATTTGCCCTGCATTCAGCTAATTATCCCTTTGTTTCAATATTACCATAGATGTAGCTTGTCAGTGTCCTCTGTGTAGCTAAAGCTGATCTACTTTATTAATAGTATTTAGATGCACAAAAAAATAATTTGGTGGTATAATTCCTCAGATATCTGTATAATTGCACCAGAGATTAACTTGGGTGATAGCAAGGGCTTCCCACTCTCAGTAGTCTTCATTATATTGCTGCAGGGGTTCCTTTATTTCAACCTTTTTTATTTCAGTTAAGAATAATAAGTTTAATGTAACTTGAAAGTCTAATAAAGCGAGTCACAAACTTGGTTTGGTTCTTCTCCCCTTGTGCTATATTTCAACTACCTGTTTAACGTCTTCAGACAGTACATAGTAAAAACTGTTTCTTATGGCTGGCATGAACTGAATCATTTACCAGACTCCTGCTATCCACATGGTGAGTGGGAGGAGGGAGAACTGGAGGTTGAGGACAGTACACCATTGAAAACACCTGTTCCAATAAAACTAGACAGGGATTAAATCAACAGACTAGCATAAAAATTAAATAAGGTTCTGTAGAAATTCTTCTGAAGTCCTATGAAATTGAATTATAGTGTTATAGCTGAAACCTTTTATATATAGAACTTAATAGAAGAGAAATAATTCTTTTTTTTTTTTTTTTTTTAATGCTTTAGAAAAGTCTCAAAAGAAAATGGGAAAATTGATTCTCTTTCTAGTAAATTCTGCATAACAGCCAGACCCAGCTGCTGGAAAGGAGGTTAAACCCTGCTCCAGAAAGCTTCATCTTGCATACTGGTCTCTAATTAACATAGTGGGAGCAAATATATAGCTACACCCATCTATGACAGTGAGTGGGAGGACTTCTAGCATTCCAGTTCTCTATGCAGTGGGCAGGTGGAATCAATGGTGTTTTTGTAAGCCTAAAAAAGATTAATTATTCTGAAAAGGTATGTTTTCAGTTCATCATCGTAACTAGAAAGCTTGCTTCTAATTTGGCACTTCTTGTTTTGTTTGTTTGTTTTTTTAACCTAGGAGTTAATTTGTTAGTGGGTACTGAGAGTGGTCTGATGCTGCTAGACCGAAGTGGTCAAGGGAAAGTTTATCCACTAATCAATCGAAGACGATTCCAGCAGATGGATGTACTAGAAGGGCTGAATGTCTTGGTGACGATATCTGGTAAAGCTCTTTTCAATAAATTGTTTTCATGCTGCCCGTGGTGTGGGAAAGTGCTTGTCTGCGCCATTGAAGTCAGTTCCCACATCCTGTGTGCCATGTTGCATCTTCATTTCTGCAGTACTCCATTTTTGGTGAAAAAACTCCCCAGTTGTATGCTTTGAGGGATATGAGTGCTGCAGCTTAAAGATTTTTGAAGGATAAAATGAGGAAACATTGTCTTACTTATTTTTGTTGTTTGGGAGAGCATGGGTAAAGTAACCAAGTTTAATGCTGTTGTAATAATGACATTTTCTTTCTCTCTCATAGTTAAAAGAATTCTGGGTTTAACTATAAGTAAAACATGATTTACTTTGGTTAAAAGTAATCATTGAAAAAGGCTACCTAAAGAGGTTGTAGATTTTTTTTATCCTTGGAAGTTTTAAGAGCAGGTTTTACAAATACTTGACTGAAATGGCTTAAGGAAGAATGAAGCATCTTGAGCCGAGGATTGGACTAGATGACCTTTTGAGGTCCTTACCAGCCCTAACTTCTGTGATTCTTTGATTCTACTACATATGTTGTCATTTGTGCCAAGAGCAGTAGAACAGAAAATATATTTCAAAGTAAAGATAGAAAGTGGCACCAAAGGTGAGGAGAAAGGGATGCCCAATTGTTTGCAGTTAAATTACAAATATGATGGAGTAGGTAAATGCAGTATCTGGAAGTGTCCTTGCCATTTGTCTAACAGTTGGGGGGTGTGTTCTTGTTTGTTCTTCTATTTTTATTTTTAATTTTTTTTGAGGGGGAGAGAGAGAGAGAGTTCCTGCTTCTAATGTAGGTTAATTTAAAAAAATAAATAAATAAATTTAAAAAAGGGTATATTGCTACAGGTGGGAGATCCAGGCTGCTTGTCTCCAAAGAGATATTTGAAAGGGCTGCTTCGTTGATTTGGTGCATTGGAGGTGCTGTCTCAGACCTGTACTAGCAACTTCACCTTTTGCTGTGCTAGCTATTTAGGGTATAGTAAGAGAACATGGCTGATCCAGGGTTTCCCACAGTGGTCACTGGGCTGTATTTTTTAGCCACTGGGGGAAGTAAGGATACAACTCTGATCCTCCTGCTCTGGATGTGTTATGCTTCTACAATTTGAGCAAAAGGAGAATCTCAATTATATGTTCACTCAATAGGGTCTGCAATACCCATTGGAACTGTTGTGATTCCATCTGCTGGATCTAATGGTACATGCATCCAGACAAGTTGTGTAAACTTTTGTGTGTGTGTGTGTGTACTTGTTACCCAAAGTACCATATTCGTGACAGTATAGTCAAGCGCGGGACTATGTTTCCATTTTTTAAAAACTTGTAATATTTTCATTGTAATATTTTCATGAATTTTATTTAAATTTCATTTAGTTTAAGCCTGGAGTGTGTTTAAAACAAGCAAACAAACAAAAATCTGGGACTTAAAAAAAAAAATCCCTCAAACATAAAGTGTTTTTATGTTAGACATCAGCAATGCACTCTGGAAACTCTAAGTTACACTGGTGAATCATTTAACACAAATAACAGAATAGCAAAACTCAAACAAAAATATCATATCACTCAGCATCTGTAATGTCCACTAGTTTGCAATGTATCTCACGTGGATGATGAGAGCCTGCGGTTAAAACTAGCGTGAAATTCTTCTAGCTTTATTTATAGTTGTGTCAGTCACGGTCCAAACAACCCACCACATCCGGTTTCTTTCTTTCCTTCAAGAATATTGCTTCCTCTATTGAGACACGCTACATTAACCCGTAAGAAACTGTCTGATCCTTAGCTGTTTTTTGCTGTAAGAACTGCCTGATATCCTGGGTTTTATGGGAGGATGCTAGTGTGCCTGAGGAAGGGGGAGCTTGTAGCCACTGAAAGGCAGGCTCATGTTGGGATTTTAGGTGGGCAACACTTCTGTTTATACTAAAGGATCCTTCTCCTTATGCTTTACCTTCTACCCTACCAGTTCCATTTAGAGGCTGAGCTTTTTCTTTCTTTCTATTCTATAAGTAAATAGGAAAGTTAAGATTTAACCAAACTTCCCCAAACACATGACTTAATCCATTCAGTCATGTAATGGTCTCCCTGGGCTTTGGAGTTTGTTTAAAAGCACATTAGGCATCTTACATTTACCATATTTACTCAAATAGAAGATGACCCCCCCACCTTGTAATTAGATTCTGTATATGGAAAACGTATAGATTTATTATAATTTTCCAGGTGTAGAATTATTGGAGATTTGCCTTGAATTTTTCCCCTTCCCACTGCTACAGCAGGGAAAATAAATCTGGGGTGTCAGGTATCCCCTTTGCTCTGCTTCTCCCAGCTTTTTCCCCTGCCAGCTCCTTCCCCTTCTCCTTACAGTTTGACACCTGGTCTTCCCAAGCACATGGAAGTGAGGGGCAAATTTCAGAACAGTGGCCTTGAAAATAAACATGGCTGTAGCAGTTTGCCTATAGTATCTATAGACTTCATCCAGAATTAATGTATGTTACATTTTTTAAAACTGCTACAAGTTTTAGCACAGGTACTCCATAAACACTGTTGAGTACTTTTGGCACCTACTTACATGTAGTACAAATTATGTATGATATTAATCCAAAGCCTACCACATAGTTAACTGGGCTGGGCCCCATCATTGTTAACAGCATTTGAAACCCATAGCTCAGCACTGTTCAGTATTTGTGTGTGCTCCAGATACCCCACTCCTCCCCACCTAAAAGGATCCATGTGCTAATTAGCCATAACTCATGACTATAACCAATTGTTCTTGTCACAAGTCCTGGGATGCTCCAAATAATTATATGCAGTGCGGTGCAGGGCAATCTGGTCTAGCTTCACTTCGTGGTGGCGGGGGTCACACTAATCTTATGCAACAGTCTGAGAGAGGGAGTGACAGGGATTCTGGGTGAATTGTTTAGGACCCCTTTGGTGATGTTTGCTAGGCATTTATGGCTGACGAAGAAACAGGAACAATTGGAAATGTGAAAGAAAGGCATGGTTCAGCTGTGGGAGTTACGAGGAAGTCAAAACCATATGCAGTGTAGTGGCTCACTGTGACTTTGAAAATGGTTAGCAATGAGGGGAACTGCGCTATTCTTGATGTAGGTTTCTATTGGTGTGTTTGCTCAATGTGGGTTGTGTGGTGGAGGGAGGGTGTGCAGGGGATTGGGTGCATTTATTGTAATGGGGAGCGTGGGTTTCTTAATGCAGATTTAAGATGTGTGATGGAAAGCTTACGATAGAGGATGTGTGTGTGTATTATATATATAACTCTTTCTCTAGATATAGAAATAAACTTTTTTTTAATTAAAATGTAATAGGCATTGTTCAGCATTGACTGCATTTAATTAACTTCATAGTTGGTTTCCATTACTGAGCACCTGCAGCTATTGACAGCAGTTTAATGATAGACAATCTATTTAAGGAGATTTCCTTGTATACAATTATAAGATGAGAGGTTTTTCTCCCATGCCAGATGGGGGAAGAACCTCGTCTTGTATTCAGGTAAATTTGGTATATAACCTAAGTTCTACGCTTGCTTCCTTGTCTTACAATAAGTTCAGACAGTCTTTTCAGGATGTTCAATGCACATGGTTAGGTATCTTCTCCATGTACAAAGGGATTTCTTCGTATCAGAATCTTGAGGAAATTGTAACCTAAAATTTCTCTAGCAGACTATCTTTTATTCTTTAGAATCCTAAAGTGGAATGTTTATAAAAATTGCCTCTAGGTAAGGCAAACTTTTTATTCCAAGGCACTAATGCAAGGGAGCAACAAGTCAAAGTAAATGGTGTAGCCTTAATTCAGTCTGTTATGAGGCAAAAATAGTGTTGGGTGTTTCAGGTACTGCAGAAACAGACATCATAGCAATATCTGACAACAGAGCAAGGACTTCACAGTGACAAAAGTAAGTCCTCCTAAGGGAGCAGATTTAATCTGTGGATCCCTAGGGATTTTGCAAACATCATTGCATTTTCATAGCACCCATGGAAGTTAGATGAGGTTTACAAAGTAGAACTATTTAACGTTTTTCCCTGAAAAAAATAAGAAACTCTTGTGGGTCTGTAACAAAGCTGCAGAAGGTCTAGGACCTTGACTCAGCCTTTGTGCTTTAACTGGTGGTTATCATAGAAATCATGGGGTGCATTGAGACAAGTATGCACATGCATTTCCCCGGGGACAAATAGCAGCGGCACATAGTTGTGCCACTGCTACTTGTCCCTGGAGAACGCCAGTGCAGCACATCCTAGCGCACAGCAAGTTGCTGTGGGTGAGGTAGGGGAAGCTGGAGCCAGCATTTAGGGATCCCTTATCTGGGGTACTGGCATGTAGAGCCTGATTGCTATTGAGTGTGGCTTCAGCTGGCCTGGCTCTGATTTCGGGTGGCCCATGCTCCTGCTATGTGCGCTGCCCCACTTTTTCAGGTGTGATCACAGGGATCTCCCAGTGTCAAACCCCCCCACTCCCCCCAGGAGTGCTGCAAACTAGCAACACAGCGAATGCCTGCACACACAGTGGGTGCAGTGCCATGGTGCCAGAGATTGTACATGTGCACTCATCTGGAAACACCCATGGTGTCTAAATAATAAGCTTATTCCAAGGCTGGAATAGATTTTTTTTTTAAGGTAGTGGGCAGACATCATATTTAAATCTAACTATAAATTCTAAAGACTCTTTCTAAGTTGCTTATGTAGGTCCTTGCCTTTTTGTTTTCTCCTCCCCTTCCCCCACTCTTCCATCTTGGGTGCTTCTTTGTTTTTGTTTCATTTTGAAGGGAATACATCACTTCACCACTTACTATATCCATCTGTGACTACAATTGAAGAGAAACTTTGTTTAAAGTTGGGCATGGCCATGTTTCTGTGTGTAACCAGTCCTGCCCTTTTTATGTTTGGATGCTTCACACTGGAGGGCAGAGGAGCTTCTTGCTATGTGATTCTTGTTTTTAGCACCCAACTACAAGGATGCAGGGGATGAACTTCCTTTGTCTGTCTATATATATATATATATATAATACACACACACACACACACACACACACACACACACACACACAGACTTTCCTTGTTTGCATCACACGGTCAGATGTGAAAGAGAGGTTCACATGCTGGGGAACCCTGTTGGTACCATTTGTTACTTAACTACTGCCAAATTATGGGAAAAGCAAACACGACTCCATACTCTGGTGAAATGAGCCTGATGAGCCTGGTTTGTTTCAGAAGGCTACTGAATGTTACTTGCTTTAGTACATTTCTGTTTCAGCCTCCAAAACAGAGCTTGTGCCCTGTCTAGTACCTACAATGGCTTTGAAAACACCGTAGCATCCTGGGTGGCCCAAGGACTGGAGAGCTCTCCAGTATGACTGCTGTTTAGGGAGCTTTTCTTGGCTGTCCTGTAAGCTGTGATGCTGCCCAGAGTCTTTGCACTCCTATGTGCTGAGGCTCTAATCCCTACTGTAGGCTTTGCAAAAAGATCCTCAGAAAGGTTACTTTTTGCTTGTATGGTCCTTTGTCCTATTGCTTGGGCTTGAGCAGCAGTGAGGATTTCACTCTCAGTGCTTACTAAACCAAGCTTTATAAAGTCTGCCACTAAACAGTTTTCCCCCACTGTGAGTTGGATAAAGCTTATGTTCTAACCCAAGTGAAGCCTCTGCCCTTTGCTAAATTAGCTCAAATAAACACAAACAAAGACCAAGTGTTATGAGCTGTGTGTTTAAATGGCTGCGCGCACACAGAAATATTAATGAACTCTGGGTAAACTTCAGTACAAAGCTGCCATTTTACCCTCTCCCAGATCTAGTAACACATCCAATTGTTTAGAAGTGGATTCAGTATTTTAATTTTTCCCATCTCCTTTTTATCTATCTTTTATCAGTCTAGTGTGAAGGTTGGGTCAGATAAGGATGCAATAAAGATGGTCCTTAATAGTTTGAGTAAGGGAAAGGGCAGATCAGGCATGTCTTGAGGTTTATTTTTTTGTGATCTGTGATGGAGAAGCATCTTTTGCCTCTTCTTGCAGTCTATTAACATGCAGTGTTCTACCATTTGGAAAGTAAGTGAGAATCTGTCAGCAAAGCTAGTGTCAGCTTTCAGCAAGCTGGGAAAGTGTGTTTTAGCAGTATGCGATGCCCTCACTGGAAGTAACTGCACCTCTTTCTCAGTTGCGTAAAACATTTGTAGGTTAACTTTTATACTATGGATGTTGTAAATAGAGATCACTTGCTGAAACTGTTTTTAGCTCAGTTTTGTGGTACAGTTTTTTCTTTTTCCCATTAAATCATTTAATACTAAAACTTAACCAGTTTGGATGAATGAAACATGCTGGTTACTGTAATCACAGTGCTTAAAGTATGTTCAGACTTCTGCAATCTGCTTCTTTCAGACTCATTCCTAAAAATGACTTACCTGTATGTTCTTATATCTGTGGAAATTGGTGCTGCTTAACCCTTTGGCCACATGGAACAGATGAGTAGCATAGGGTTGGCACGTGGGAATCAGGCCCTGCACTGCCTCAGCCCTGCATGCCTAATCTAGCATGCAGGGCCATACAGTCTGGCCTGCGGGGCTCCTCCTTGTTGCAGAAATTTGGCAAAAGGGGAATGGCAGTTAGTGCTCCCCTGCTGCCAATTTTTTTTTTAAACTGTGGGGAGCCTGGCAGGCCAGATCTGTCCTGGGTGCTGAATACCCTGGTGTAATTGATTTTCAGCCACAATACACTTTTTCCCCTACACTCATCTAAGGTATTGCACAAACAAGAGCTTTTCACTGTGGAAGTACAACCCAGTCATTAAAAGTAGAACCCAGACAGCCCCAGAAAAATCCCTTTAAATTGTTTACTTAATATTTTATGTGCACATTATAAACACATTGTATGCCAAGGTGTCTAGACCAGTGGTGCCCCACTCATTTGGGACTATGGGCCCAGGCCAGTGGTACCAATCCTGTGCAGAGAGCTGCATCATTTGTCCCCAGTCCAGTATGTAGGGCTGATTCAATCTGGAAGCCGCAGCAATAAATGCTGCCACTGCTCCCCCTTTGCCAAATTTCCAGACCCATGGGGAGCCCCATGGGCTGGATGACAGCTCTGCCAGCTGATCCACCGTGTGGGCCATATCTTGGTTGCTTCTGATTTACAGTAATACTGCTGCTGATGGATGATAATGCCTTTGTTTAATATTGACCCTTAAAGTGAATGTTTAGGATGACTGGTTTCAGAAAATTCTTACCTATTTTTGCTATGGTTGGCCTTAGACACTTTTTAAATGACTGTTGTGTTTGTAGGGAAGAAGAACAAGTTGAGAGTTTACTACTTGTCCTGGTTAAGAAATAAAATTCTTCATAATGATCCAGAGGTAGAAAAGAAACAGGGTTGGACAACTGTGGGCGACTTGGAAGGCTGTGTGCACTATAAAGTTGGTAAGTAGCAAAAGAATTATGACAATCTGTCAGGATAAAATTAGGTTAACAGAGAAGTCCTGCTAAGCTTGTCACTGATGTTTATATAAACCGGTTTCTCTTAGCATTAGTCATACCAAAATCACATGTTAAGATAGAATGAAAAATGCCTACAGTTTTTATTTAGGTCTTGAAGGCTGACTGTTGTCAAAGCAAAACAGCAGTATGCTAGATTTGGAGGGCATCGTGCAACAAGAACATATGTTTAAATTAATGATGATTCATTGATTTCCTTTACCTCATCATGTTTCCTAATGCACACACACACTTGCTCAAGTGCACTTGTGAGCAGATGTTTGTTTCCATTAGACAAACTGTTTTTAGCAGTTTTTTTCAATTGCTGAAATTTAATTGGTCGTAGAACTCTTTAAAACATATGCTGGACGGTTTGACATTTGGCATGGCCATACATATCTATGAGCCTACCCTCCTGCAGGGGGAGATGCAAGCCAACGTTAGTACGTGTGTGCTGCCTCTGCTGCTCCAGTTTCGAAACAAGATCTCCTGATGCTGCAGCAGAATCACTGAATTGGGGGGAGGGGGGGGGTTGGGTTTGTTTTTACTTGTACTTTAGAGCAAATTCCGTATTTCACCTAGCCCAGAGTTTCAAACTAACATTGCCTCTTTGAAGTTGTGGCAGTCGCTGTGGAGTCCCAGTCTGAACAGTGGTCAAACTTTTCTGTGCACACACGCACACAAAATCTTGAAACACCTACAAGTAGGGAGCAGTCAATAAATATCTCAGTAAGAAATTGCTGAACCAAAAAGCTGACCCAGAAAACAATTTATAGTGTACTTCTCCTGTATCATACCCAAGGGTGTCGGCAGCCTAATGAAGCGACCTGTTAACAATACATTAACAGCTATTTAAAGGAGACTCTGGCAATGAAGAATGTGAAACTGAGAGCATTGTTTTCTGGATGAAGAGTGATTTGTTACACTAGGCTGCAGCCTGGCAATGAACTTTACTTTGAACAATAAATATACAGGAGATCTCCTCCAGGACCAGAGAGGCCTCTTTGACAAGTCATTTTAGTTCCTTGAGAATGATGATGAGTTCTGGAGATAGTTATATCTGCAGATCTAAACAACAGTGCAGTCAGTCCTGAAGCTGACAGTGTGGCTCGGCGCTTCAGCAGTTATCATCAGTGTCTGTTTTGTCTCTCTGATGCAGCAGGGAGCTAGATTTTGAGTGACTTTGGCATTTATGGATCTTGGAAATGCTCCCAGCAGTTTGTGCCACTACTAAATGATACATTCCTCTTTTTATAATAAAGGCTGATTCCAGAGAGCACCTAAAGCAACCATGAAAGGAATTTCTTGTTACCTATACTGTGAATGGATTGGCAGAAAGAAAAGAATACCAGACTATTCATAGCATCTGATGAAGTTGCTGCCTACAAATGCTTATTTTTCTTTGAACCAGTTAGTCTCTAAGGTGCCACTCTCCCATACCTTCTGCCTAATTTCAGACTACACTGCTGATCACCTCTGTCTGGTAGGGGTTCTGTATGTGAACATCATCTTGTATATGCTTTCAAGACAGACAAAGGTAAACAAAAGCCCAGTTTTAGAGACAGAACTAGTCCAATTGAAGAAGCCTGTGCATGACTTGTTTTACATGACTAGGCCATTGTGCATCAGCAACTGTACAGTTCTTGGCAGAGAAGAAACCTGTGTCCAGTGGCAAGGAGATTCAAGACGATTGGAGTTACTCTTCCACTGCATCCTTCATCTGTCTTCACAGCTGTTGAGAAGTATGCCATCTTCATGTGCCTGCCCCACTGTGGAGGTCTTTGTTATCTTGAACTGCTCTTCATCTGATACCTCACCTTTGACCTTACCACCATGGGTGACCCTACCAGGAGTACAAGACTCATGATGGTATTGCTCTTGGGGTCACTGGTACATGCAAACCTCTCCACCCCATCAAGGTGGCAGTCTGTGGAGGGGTGACAGAACTAGTTTGACTGAGGACTTGATTTTTTTTGTCATTAGAGGTTTTTCAAATCTTTAACACTTACAGTTCATGATTCTTACTACCCTACTGATTAAGGGGAGTGAAACTCTTTGAGAAGAACATCTCCATATCCCTTCTGCATACCAGGAAGAACCAATTATTGACTTGTGTATCATTTAAAAGAAAGTATATGTTGGAAGTATTTAAAATCAATTTTTAAAGAAATATACAGTGTTTCCTTAAAAATCCATGCTGTGTCTGAACGTGAAAAATTGTTTTATGTTCAGAAAGTACTTGCTACAACATTTATAAGAAAAATGAAGAGAACATAAGATAAATTCAAAACAAAAAACCTTTTTGTCCAGACTAATAGCTCATGAGCTGCTAGAGGCTCCTAGACACCCAATACCTCTTTGATGCAACCAGCTCTCTGATGTTTGACTCCAAACATTGTGCCAGGGCCACGCTCAGGATGGCTTCTCACTGAGTACTACTGAGTGCCGTTTTGATTTGTTGGTTTTCATCACTGAGAAGATTTTCTTGCTACATGTGCCTGTGAACATGAATAACATTCTTGATGTGAAGGTTTTTATTGCTGGTTCTCCCAGGTAGTGGTAAAATTCATGAATCCTGACTGTTGATGGAAGATAAGGCAGGATGGTACCTTGGGCCTCTCGCAGACATGACTAACCAGTTAATCATGTCTTAAATAGTAACCTGGCCCATGCCCAGGCAACTGATGGTGCAATAAATGAGAAATTAAGCCACAAAACTATTCTGCAGAACGTGTAATAATTTTGTCGTTGGTTTCCATTGTACCTTAAATTGAACATGTGGCAGGTGGACTGCACTGGAGTCTCTGACTGGTAGTAGTGTGGTCACAGCTAGCCATTGATCAGCTGATCGTTGTTGGACTATACTGGGGTTCAAACTAGCCCTGGTGCAGTCCCTGCTGACCAGGCATCCAGCCAGCCTTCAGCCTGCTGGTGCCAGGGGAGCCTCGAATCATGCCCCCGGGCTTCCCCTGCATTAGTAGGTAGGGTACAATTGAGATCTAATCTCCAATCCCAAAATCACACTTCCTGCCATGCATATGTGGCATGATAGGAGGCACAGTTGTTGGGACTGGTGGTCAGATTCCATTGTACTTTTAAGTGAATGTCTGTCATTGGCATTAGAGACCATGCTAAATATCAGTGAGTTCCATTTGCAGCCTTTCAGGAGCATATTCCATAAGAACAGAGAACAGGGGCTGAAAAGTCTGAACTCTACTTCATGACTCCAAAAGTCAGAAATTCTGTCCTGGAATCAGCAGGTTTGACCATGTAGTTCTCCATGCTCTTACCACCTTCATTCCCAGTGGCATTGAACAGTGATTCCAAGGTGGAGAACTGTGCTGCATTGCATCGAGAGCTGTTTATCCCAAAGATGGGCTGCATTTCTGAGGCATGCGTACTGTTGTAAAATTCCGTCAAAACTTGGTTCTGACTCCTCATTCTTGTGTTCTGCATATTCATATGTTCAAAGACAACCCTGCAACTCAGCTAGCATACTTCAGCATAATACAGCACCTGTACTGAGAATCACCTTTCTCCAAGAACTGGTTGAATTGTGAAAGGCTGAGAGCCCTGGCTCGCATGAAATTCACTGTTTTTACTACAACATTCATCATGTGGTCTGTGCCAAGAGTTTTGGTAAAGCGTTTCCTGATTCAGAATGCAATGAAAAACGCAAATGCTCATGGCTGGCATTGATGCTCTTCACTGTCTCTTGAAACACTCGCTGCCCTTTTCTAGTCCATACCTAATTTGTCCAAAGTTGGTGTCACTGTTGAAAATATCTTTTATAGGTGTGTCTTTCATTGGCACAATCTCCAGACTCCTCTGTTGCATTCATACCTTGATCAACAGTCCTCATTGTGCCGTGTCACTCGCATCTGGGCTTTCATCAGTTGCTGTTGAAAAAAGGAGCAAATGCATTAGCTTTGGTGCAAAGCTGACTATGCAGAATACCAAAATTGTTTGACGCCCCCATCTTAAACAATAGGGACAATAGCTGCAAACAGAGTTTTACCAGATGACCAGTCCTCGAATTTGTGAACTTGCTACATTATAACATTAGGAGCATATTACTGTTTTTGATAAATGTATTTTTCCTTGAACATCATGAACCAAATGACAGACATTACTGCATTGTAACTTCTGTTTCTGGGGGAAAAAACAACCCCCTTTTCTCTACCCACTTCCCCAAATCCCTGAAACCCAAAACTTCATAAAACTGGCAAGAAATGGACAAGAATGTTGCATGTTTATATGGTATTTTTCTTTAATAAAAAGATCGCTATTCATTTTACTGATTGGAGGATATTTTCGTTCTTTTTTCTTTCTCCCATTGTACCCTACCAGGGAATCTAAACTCTAAGATAAGAAGAGTACACTTTAGCTATCACCTGAAATGTTAGCTTTTCTCTTAGTATTGGAGTGATGTTGCAGCCATGATGATTCAGGAAATAGGTGAGGCGCAAAGATTTCTGTGGGTGATATATTTTATTGGGCCAACTGTACATTTGCAATAGACCTAAACAAACTTTGGACTTCAGACCTGATGAAGAATGCATTGCATTCAAAAGTTTGTCTAAATCTATCCCAACCATGCAGTTGGTCCAATAAAAGATAGTCATCTTGATATATTATTATAACTAAATGAAATGTGATTTAGCTAAAAGAAGAATGAATTGTAGCTAAAAATCTTCAAATGTTTAAAATAATATAGTGACTAAACTCTTTTCTTGCTTCCTAAAATCACTTAAGAGTTTTTGGAGTTGCTGCTGAGTGAGTTTTCTCATTTCATTTCAGTAAAATATGAAAGAATCAAATTCTTGGTAATTGCTCTGAAGAGTTCTGTGGAAGTCTATGCTTGGGCACCAAAGCCGTATCACAAGTTTATGGCTTTTAAGGTAACTTTTTAACTATATTTTGAGCTTCAGTATCTATTTGCAGTTACAGAACTGCATCTTCAAAAATTTTGAAGATGAACTGGTGCAAGTTATATTGGTGGCATTAAATGTGCATCATGTAGTCAATTTCATTTAGTAAATTTCACAGAACACAAACCTGCTCCACCAATCACCTAGTGGTTAGGGACTGTAATACCTCCTACTGCAAGGATGACCGGTGTGCTGCATGCATGCCACAAGTGACTTGGGAAGCCTTTTGTGTGTGGTATATAACAGATCAGGGAGGGAGCACAGTGGCAGATAAGGTAGGGAGCAGAAAACCAAGTAACAGATTGGGCAGGGCAAGGGGATTGGAGAGGCCATCAAGGAGGGTGAAGGTCTTACTTTGTGGCATGCCTGCCAAAAAGGTCGACTCCCACTGACCTATTGTCAGTTAGGTTGAGAGATCTGATTGTATGTTGATCCCCTTACTCTGGAGTACATTTATTACGAAATGAAATTTGGTGTCAGGTACTTCATTGTCATCATCGGGGATACTGGTTTTCTCTGATTAAAAAAAAAAAAAAAAATCCCCAATTTTTTGGATGAAAAAAGAAACCCAAAATCTACAATTTTTTAGTGATTAAAATGAAACACCACTATACGTACTTCTATATATTGGTGGCGTTTCATTTTAATCACAGAAAAATGTGGATTTTGGGTTACTTTTTTTAATCCGAAAATTGGGGATTCTTTTTTTAAATCAGAGAAAACCAGGATCTCTGGTCATCATGTCAGGTACCGAAGCTATTGCATGGACTATAAATTCACAAAAAAGATTTGAAATGTTCTAGAGTTTGGAAACCATACATCTTTAAAAACAGCAAGTTGTTTTAGTTTATATAGCTAAATCCTGAAAGCTGTTGAGTGCTCTCACTTCAGTCAAAACCTCACTATACAGATTTTGCAGGCTGAGTATGGCTTTTGGAATCCCATTTTAGTACAGTAGGCTCTGCCAAGATGTTGATCTGATTGTATTTATTTATTTATTTATTTTTGATTGCAGTCATTTGGAGAATTGGTACATAAGCCATTGCTGGTGGATCTAACTGTGGAGGAAGGTCAGAGGCTGAAAGTGATCTATGGTTCCTGTGCTGGATTCCATGCTGTTGATGTAGACTCAGGATCAGTCTATGATATTTATCTACCAACACATGTAAGAACTGACACTCTGGACAGGATTATTATTTCTTACGTTTTTTTCCGCTTCTCACTGACAAAGATAAACAGGTGGACAGACGCTGATGGTACTGGCTGTATGATCAGAATGAGAGCCATCCAAAAGAAGGGTCATCTTGTGTCTTTCAGTATGCTACTTTGGCTGCTGAAATGCATGTTTTTCACTTGTGGGTCACTTAAAAGAAAATCTTGCACTTAAATCATTCCCCCTACATCTAAATAAAAGGTACCCTAAAATCTTCTCCTTCAGAGATTGTTTGCTTTCAAACCATTAATTGTCTTGTAAAAAAACAAGAAAACAAAAAAAAACTTGCTTGTTTTGTCATTGTGGCTGAACTGTTTTACATCAGGATTAAATTTAAATTTAAAATGTAAATTTAATTTAGACAAATTAAAGCCACCCTCCTCTACCTCTGAATCGGAGATTTAGGAGATCTTTGTGTGTTAGTATTTTATTTAATTTTATTTGTTTATATGTTTGGAAGAGGGAACTCTGAAGGGGGAAGCATGATGAATGTTGGAGAAGTGAGTCTCACATCCTATGGCATACAGCAGAAGCAGAATCATTGGTTTGCTTACAACAGCAATAGGCTCACTAATTGGTGGGTAGAAAGAGAAGGCAGAGCACAATATTACTTACCTACTCCCAGCATGCTTCCAATTCGGCTGAATAAGATTTAAAAAGGGCAGCTCCATTGTAACCATTAAATAACTGTAAGGATGGTTCTGTGTGAATTGGAGTTCCTTTGTAAGTTTGACCAGGTTTGTTTGGATTCCCTTTTGCAAAGCTGGTCTTTTTGACACACAGATTAAGTAAATTCAACACATTCCTGCCTTAAGCTACTCTTAATAACCACTCCAGACATGCACACTTTTATTATGAACTCCAAATGTGTAGTGAAATTAAGATACAAGTGTGTGTGTGTGTGTGTGTGTGTGTGTGTATAATATATATAACAAGTGTCATGTCTGTTAGGAAACAGTAAATAGCACAGCTTCTCTGCATAATTATGCTATAGAAACATTAATTGAATGCATTTTCAAACTTTTACATTTTTTCTTCAACTTGTTTTAATAATGGAGGATCAAACTTCTCAAAAATAATTTTGAGTATATAGTATTTAAACATTGATGGGAGTAGCTAACAAGTAATTTTCAGATAAAATGTCTGCAATCAAATACAAATGGTAATAATTTAAAGAAGTAAGTATGCTGCATCTTAAAAGATTACCTGAATTTTTTTTACATATATGCATACTACAGTAGAATTCAATGCACCCTATGCAATTAAAATTAAGGCAGACACTGGCCAAGCATACAGCAAGAAGCAGTCCCTGTCCCAACACTTTAGGTCTAACTAGGTAAACAGCAGGCAGGGAAGCAGATGGTGAATTGATTCTTCTCTTGGTCACATGGAGAGGCAGAGCTCAGGTAGGCTTCATTCTAAACCTAGGGCTCAAGTTCAGTGCTTCCCCACCCTGCTCTTCATTGCCATTTCAGTGAGAGTTGTGTGGCAAAGTCCATGCTAAAAAACTCAACCAAAGACTTTGAGGGCATTATTTCGCGATGCCACAGAACCTTGATCAATTGAGCATTATGAACATGTGACTGCCTGCGGGACTGATATCAGTATTACTGTCTCCTAACAATCCCTCTTCATGGTGGCTGAGGGGGACTATGCCATTTGCTTCTTTCTACAGTCAGTCCGCTTCATAAACAAAAAGTATCCAGCCCATTTTTTCAAAAGCTGCTCGCATGACAAAACTTTCTCTTTTATATCTGTAGATCCAGAGTAGTATCCAACCACATGCAATCATTATTCTCCCAAATACTGACGGGATGGAGCTGCTGGTTTGCTATGAGGATGAAGGTGTTTATGTTAATACATACGGGAGGATCACCAAAGATGTGGTTCTACAGTGGGGAGAGATGCCTACATCAGTTGGTATGTGTCCTGCGAGAATCAAAGGTGAACCTATAATGTTGGGGGAGATAATGAGCTGTGGGGGTGAAATGCGTCCACTCTTGTCTTCAGATAACTGCTGGTGAATCAAGTATGTCATAAGGTGGATGAGTGTACAAAATAGGGAGAGATTCCTTTGCTGACATTGAGTTCCCTTTAGAATAAAATCCAAAAACATAAATGTGTTATGAAGCATGGGGGTGAATAAAATGATGTAGTGAACTTAGGTTCTCTGTAGGCTGTTGAAAATACATTGTTAGACAGCTGCTAAATTGTGATAGCCTGCATCTCTAAGGGGATTTGGTAGCTTGGAGGATGGTGGGTATTAATGTGAGAGAATTGTATGTGATTGATGGGCTTAATGTGATTTCTAGGAAGCAGAATATTTTATACTAAAATGTTGTCTTTAGGGTATGCCTGTGTAACAGAACGAAGGTGCGACTGTCGTGTGTGTTAGCTTAAGCTTGCTGGCCAACAGGAACAATGACAGCTATGATGCTGCAGACCAGGTTTTAGTACATCCTGGCAACCCAACCATATACCCAGGGTGTGTACTCAAGTCGCCAGCATGTGTGAAAGTCTGTGCTACTGTGTCCTGGAGGCAGTAGCTTTTTTTATGAAATCCCTTATGTTGTCTTTGGCAGCATTCACCAAAATAACACACAGGTCATTTATCAAATATATTTTTTATAATGCCAGTTAGCCTTTTCTTTTTTTCTAATTTTTATTACAACTCTAGTAATTGTTAGAGAGAGGGTTTTTTTTTTTCTGCTGCTAGTACTAAGTTCTTAACTAATAGAGGTTACAAGTGATACCTCAAGGGAAAAAAATAGTCTTATTTTTCCTTTTTGGTGCATTTCAAAGACGACCTACAACAGGTGCACTTCTAATATTTCTTCCATTTTCAGAGCTCGTTTAAAGCAATATTAATGCTTTTCAAGCTAATTGAATTTTTCAGAATGGAAGAAAATAAAGTAAAATGTGTCCGTTATAAATGGCCTCTCTTACGTCACAAAAATAGTTTTTTCCCCATTTTTACTAGAACACTCTTCAAAACTGAAAGAACTAGTACAATTCTAATATCACAAAGGAAAAGTGAAACTTGGGCAATTCAGCAGGGAGATTGTATTGCATATAAATCTCAGGTTCTGTTTAGATTGCATACAAAGCTACTTATCTCTTTGTAAAACATGGAAGAACAGCTGTATGTGAAAATCAATGTTCTACCCATTTTGAGACTTAGGAAAACTCCCATTAGT